TGTGTGTGTGTGTGTGTGTGTGTGTGTGTGTGTGTGTGTGTGTGGAAACTGCAGCTCTTCCTCCTCCCCCTTCCTCCCTCCTTCGACATCGTTCTCCTACTCCCCCGCTTATCATAGCGCTCTCCTTCGTCGTCATTCTCCTACTCCTCCGCCCTTTTACCTTCCCCCTCCTCCCTCTTCACCGGTGTGCTCCTCCCTCCTCCATTCCGTCCATCCTTCCTCGTCATCGTTCTCCTCGTCCTCAATCCTCCCCATTGTTCACCTCCTCCTCAATCCTCCCTCGTCGATCTCCTCCTCCCTCCTTCGTCATTGGTGTGCTCGTCTCTCCGCCCATCTACCTTGTCCTCAATCCTCCCTCGTCATCGATCTCCTCCTCCATCCGTTGTTCTCCTTTCCCTCCCTCCTTCGTCACCGGTGTGCTCCTCCCTCCTCCCTCCTCCCTCCGCCCTTCTACCTTCCCCCTACTCCCTCGTCATCAATATGCTCCTCCCTCGTCCATTCCCTCCATCCTCCCTCGTCATCGTTCTCCTCCTCCTCAATCCTCACCATTGTTCTCCTCCTCCTCCTCCTCAATCCTCCCCATCATTGAGAAAACGCTGTGCGCACCCCCCTGCGCACTGGCGCACTGCGCAGCGAAGTGTCGTGCAGCGCATCGCGCGCATCGGTGCGCGTGCCGCACGGGGGCGCGTGGCGCATCGCACAGTGCATAGATGTGCTGCAACTATGGTTTGCACATGTACCACTCAGCCCCCATCAGACTGGTAAATTTGCGCCCCTTCAGACCGGCAAAATTTGGCCCCCATCAGACCGACAAAATTTGGCCCCCATCAGACCGGTACAATTTGGCAGCAATGTCAAACAGATAGATGGCCAGTGATAGGCGTACTGTGGAGGTAATTGCGTAAAAAAGAACAAGAGTGGTGCATCTTCCCATTTTCCGGCCGCAGATTAATTCTCATTTTGATGATTTTGCACATTTGGTGAGTGCTGGAGCCAAGGCCCAACGGGATACGCGTGCTGACAACAAAGTGGAAAATAAAGAAACAGCCGTGCATCTTCCCATTTTCTGCCAGGAGATTCATTCCACCGGCTACATGTGCTGAAAACAAAGTCGGAAAAAAAAAAAAAAAAACATATTCCCATTTTCCGGCAGCAGATTCATTCTCATTTTGCACATTTGGTCAGTGCTGGAGGCAATGCCCAACGGGATACACGTGCTGACAACAAAGTGGGAAAAAAACAAACAGCCCTGCTTCTTCCCATTTTCTGGCACGAGATTCATTCTCATTTTGCACATTCAGTGAATGTTGGAGCCAAGGCCCAACGGGATACACGTGCTCAGAACAAAGCAGTTATAGTTTCATATCTATTACTTTCTGTCTTTTGTGCATTGGACCCGGACACGCCCAAACGCGCTGCTATGTACTTGTTTTCGAACATTAGCGCTGAGAGGCGCCGCGGAAATTACGAAACTGCTCGCACCTTCGCCGCTCAAAAGAAAAGAAAAAAAACGGCCGCACACAAACGCCACCTACCGGCCGCAAAACGACCAAAAAAACAAACGAACGGATCCTCCACTGCAGCGCCCTGTCCCACGCAGCTCCTGGGTCCCGTCACGGATTTCCACTGGGCCCGGGGAGGGGGAGGGTGTCAGTTGAGGACCAGGTTAGTGTTTAGTATGATAGAGATAATCATATGACCTTCAGGAGATGAACTCAACACATGGTATCCTTTTCCCCCACCCACCCACCACCACCCCCCCCCTTCTCTTCGCCCTCCCCCTCCCGTCACGGATTGCCACTGGGCCCGGGGAGGGGGAGGGTGTCAGTTGAGGACCGGGTTAGTGTTTAGTACGATAGAGATAATCATATGACCTTGAGGAGATGAACTCAACACATGGTATCCTTTCCCCCCCACCCACCCACCACCACACCCCCCCTTCTCTTCGCCCTTCCCCTCCCGTCACGGATTTCCACTGGGCCCGGGGAGGGGGAGGGTGTCAGTTGAGGACCGGGTTAGTGTTTAGTACGATAGAGAGAATCATATGACCTTGAGGAGATGAACTCAGCACATGGTATCCTTTCCCCCCCACCCACCCACCCACCCACCAACCACCACACCCCCCCTTCTCTTCGCCCTCCCCCTCCCGTCACGGATTTCCACTGGGCCCGGGGAGGGGGAGGGTGTCAGTTGAGGACCAGGTTAGTGTTTAATACGATAGAAAAAGACCAACTGACCTAGCTCAGTTTGTACACCCATGCACTGTTGAAATACACAACACCTGAGTCTGAACCTGGAAGGAATCTGACGAGCCCAAAAAAAAAAAAAAAAAAAAAAAAAAAGAGAGGGAGACAGGAAAGGAGCTGGTGGGGTTCTTTGT